GAATAACGCAGTATCTAAATCAACTACGTATGCCTGTACTTCCTCCTACTATCACCACCACTCAGACAACTAACCCACCTTGGAGCATTCAGATACCTGTTATCAACAGCACACTGACAAAACTATGCAAAGAGGAAACACCAAAAGAAATTATATACCAGAAATTCTCAGAAATCCGCAATCAATATGGTAACTACAGTGAAATATATACAGATGCCTCAAAATTACAAATGCACGTTGGCGCTGCAGTCATAACACCAACATCCATTATAGAATGTAAGCTGCCAGAGACAGCCACAGTCCTTACGGGTGAACTCTATGCAATATTTGAAGCCATCAAGTATATTAAAGGTAACTCCGCAAATAATTGGTTAATTATATCCGACTCATTGAATTCGCTTAAGTTAATTAGCACTATGTACAGCAAGAACGCCATAGCTCAAAGAATTCGGGATGAAATGAAAGATATTGCAATGCACAAAAGAATTGTTTTCCTATGGGTTCCATCACACGTTGGAATTCCAGGAAATGAGCTAGCAGATCGCAAAGCAAAAGACGCTGCCAACAACGCTACTAGATATATTGTCAAAGTACCAGAGTATGATGTAAGGGCTCATTTAAAATCGAAAATCATCCAGAACTGGAACAATCTGTGGCAGAGTAAACCATCCAAATTACTTGAACTCAAGTCTAAGTTGATGCCATGGCAAACCGTCACCAACAACCGCAAAATCCAGACCATCATCACACGACTAAGGCTAGGACACACACGAGCTACCCACGGATACCTGCTGTCTCAAGAACCTGTGCCCCTATGTGAAATCTGTGACGTGCAGTTAACAGTGAAACACCTACTAATTGAGTGCCCAGTGCTAGAAGTATATAGGTTTATGTATAAACTAAACGGAACACTGGCTGACATTATAGGACCACAGTGTAATATTATAAACATTTCCAATTTTCTTAAAGCATCTAGATTTATGTACAAAATTTAACCTACTCCCCGCTAATGACCTTTAGGTCAAAGCGGTATGCTAAATAAAAAAAAAAAAAAAAATTGTAAAACTACATGAAACTTGGAATTACTAAAAGTTAAATAATAGGTGGGTATTTTGGATTCTTGTAAGTTCATCAAGTTTTGTGTCCAAATCAAAAATGGAATAGTTACGAATTTTTATACTGAGTTTCAGAACACAGCATGGAAAAATTATTAAATTACATGCGGAATACTGGAAGAGGTGGTCACGTTATAAAATTTCAAGAAACACTTCCGGATCCCTCAAATAATAGAAAACATCACATAGCTTACGTAAAACACATAAATAATATGAATAGTACACTTTTTGAGGAACTGATGCTTTCTTGTCAAAATCTTGGAATAATCACTATCCAACTGGCTAATTGGCTCTAATGATTATCCACAGTCCATGACATGAATTATGTGGAGCATGTATCACTAATACTAGCATAGTGAAATCTTCACGATGAGAAATCGTGATGAGGCGAGTAAGATTAGCGATTCAAAAGAATAGCTTTTGTGTGTGCACATGTTGCCAACTGATAATCTCTTTCGCAACACCACTGCAATCCCGAAACTGTACTGGTCTAGAGGAATGTTGAAATGTGTCCAAATCTTCAATCTGGCCAACAAATAAAACCACATGTGATGAACAAATTACTTTATTGCTGTTGCCATGAGTGCATATGAATACATATACAGGCTGTTCATTTGAAAACTTCCCACCACGGATTTATTGAAAGCCACTAATTAAAAGAAAAAACGCCTAAACGCGTCAAAAGACTTGCCAAGGTGGACAACTTTTCAACCAAAAACTACTTCACCCTCTTTCACCCTCGGTCACCATGGTCATTCCCTCAGAAATTTTAAGTGTCAAGGGGTATCGAGTAATAGCTTGTTTGAAAGGTCTCTCAAAGATCTTTATTTTGACCTTAGACTTTCTTAAATCGGTCGATTCGTTTTCAAGAAAATTAGAAAAATCTTTATTTATCTCAATTTGTTCGGATATAAAACAAAATGATGCCCGTTATTGGCCAAACAATGATATATGCGATGTTAAGACTCCTGACGGACACTTTCAAAAACATGTTGTGGGATATTATGGCAGCTTTCGATGATGCGTTGGCGAACTTCATCCAAACTTTCAGGTTGGGGAGTTAACACAATAGATGTCAAATGACTACATAGAAAAATTATGATGTCGTCAGATCAGGAGATGCAGCAGACCATTCTATAGGCCATCTTCGCTATCCATTTATTTGGAAACTCGTCGTCTAGTCATTGCCCAACCGGAAGAACATAGTAAGGAGGAGCGCCGCTCTGCTGGAAATATATTTCAGCCTCATCAGGTATAGGTTTTCCTTCCTCTTTGATTCAGTGTTCAATGGTTTCAGTGATAAGCGGATTGATGGCATTTTCCAAGATATGTCTCCACTCAAATTGCCATTAATAAACAATGGCCAATCACTTTGTTTCCTAAAATTCCTGCCCATACATTAATTTTTTGGGAGTACTGGATATGCCCTTTTACAAAGTCATGAGGATGTTCGTGTGCTCAAATACCTGCAGTTATGCTTCATTAACAAACCCATTAGATAGAATGTGCATTCATCACTGGAGCAGATATTCCTTACTTGAATGGTGTTATCATTAATCGCTACAGTCATTTGTTCTCAAAACTCAACCCACCTATCGAAATCATATTCGGTTAACTCTTGCAAGATTTTCATTTTGAATGGAGGAAATTTGTGGAGTTTAGTAACTGTGTGTCCAGAAATTAATGAAATATCAGTCGCACCAACAATTTTGCGTAATGGAGTATTAGGATTTATTCCAAAATGACCCAAAACTTCAACTTGAGTGGTTTTATCTAAGACTCTCCGATGACCACGTTTTCTATTTGCAACAGATCCAGTTTGACTAATTTAGTAGCAAGTCCCAAAGCATACCTATGCGAAGTTATCTCCCCCGGAGGTCTGGGGTTAAAGTGACGCCGCGGCGGTTTCCGAGCACATTGATTTCGGGCACCATAAATTAGAATCATTTCCACTCTTTCGGCTAGTGTGTAAACCATTTTGGAAGTCAAATCTGTATCAATAAATTAATTTTCACAATCCCAAGATTGTCACAAAGGTAACCGACAGTAAATTAAATCATTTCTTTCCCTTAGCAATAAATAACTAAATATCTCTGTTATAGCTGACACTATCTGCATTATATTTTTAATTCAGACGCATTGTTTCCGTATATGTATTGCGTTACGGCAGAGTAAACAACCCGTCAGCTTGGACCTTCAGAGGCATCACCTGCACAGAATCAGTTTTCCAACATGTGCTGTTTTCGTTCTGAATGCATGATTAGAAGGAAGTAAACAGATAATATAACCATCTACTGCATCTGTAATACAATAAAAATTGTTGGTTGACCTTCAAGCTAGAAATACCTGTAAGCATTAACTAACATATTCTAGCAAAAGGTAGTCAACCATATACTGTATTCTGACGCCCAAAAAGAAACCTGAAAGACCCTAGCGCCATCTGAACCGGAAGACGGAAATTAATTAGAAATCTACTTTTGCGTTTGATTCTGATATCTTTTGGACGCCTCTATAATTCCTATTTCAATTGGGTATCTTCAAGCGGAACATCAATGCTTGAGGATACCCAATTAAATAGGCATTCGAGAAAGGCCAAAACAGAATTGCAGTCAGCGCCATCTATGCGACGGTAGAAAATACAAGCGTTCTAGGTCCTTTCAAAGTAGATTTTTAATTAATTTTTGTGTCCTGCTACTGTACCATGTATCTAAATACAGGTTTTCAGGAGAAAAATGTATAAGAACAAAGTTGTAAGGTTTAAAAAGGGCCATCTAATTGCGACCTTAAAAGTGAACTTGACGATGACCTTTTTTAAAACGTAAACCCCCATTTTGACACTGGATGTGTGGGAGGCAAAACAATTACACGTTGAACTTTGTCGTTGGCCATGCCCTTGACAATGACATTCAAGGTTTTTAATAAGTATAGAAAGGACAACACACTCCTAACTAACAATTTTCTGGAGAAAGGTGTTGGATAACATAGTGAGGTTTTAAAAGGGTTATTCAAATTCTCCTCTTCTTAGATTTCTGGAACTCCGTCACTTGTACATGGCCCAGATAAGACCCAGCCCTAAGTACTGCTCACATGTTTGGGAAGCTGCCGCCCTGAGTACGTTGTCCATACTCGATGCTGATCTGGGGAGGGCTGTTTGATTTATTTATGACACTTCTCTAACCGACGGTCCCAAGACAGGCATCTTCCAGCTGAACCTTACTTATGCAGAGAAATCCAAATATCACTAATGAGGTAGTGAGTATGAGAGAGAATCGGCGAGCAGCTTGTAGCACGTACTCGTATGTAAAATAGAGTGCGCCGATGGCAACGTGGCAAGCTGCAGATGCGTCCATGGACTCGTCACTCGGGTTGCTAGGCAACGTGGTGCTTGTATCTCTTCCTGACCTACGATTTGTATGACTCTCACGCTTCTCTCTCGTATACATTACGACGTCAGTAGTATATGGAGTTCTCTGTATATTTCCGTATTATGTCAGGACGTAGAATTCCGTTATACTCGTAGTTAAGTTTATCGCTGTGTTAATCTGAAACAAAAATTGCCATAGCCAACTAAATATTGGCTGATATGAATAACACTTGAGTTTAAACTCCGGGTATGTACTCATGAGCATAAGCATCAAGTGCTAGTTTGTTCTCCGTTTTGTACGAATAAAAATATTTCGCTGAGAGGAGTATCTGCTTCTAGCACATAAAGTAGATACTCGTCCATACAAGTCTGCACCCGCATCTGCACAACAATAAAAAAGTGTGGCATTCGGCATATTCGAGTACTAGTATAAATTCAAGTATATAGTCGATCAGCGTGCAATGAGTGAAAGCGAAGAAGAAACTGATAAAACCGGCGAATCCCAATTGAGATTTGTAAATATGCTACGTGATTTTCCCATACCTTTATCCAAGTCACAAACAATAACTGTCCGACAGTCAAAAATCAAAGCAGTAGAACTGATCAAAACACAGTGGAAGCTGAATTTCGGAACACAAATAACGACAAGTCACAGTACAAAAAATTAATTACATGAAATCCAGACTCAAGCAAAAGACTGACATAAACAGAACTGGAAATAAGAAAATTGTGCTGCAGGATTGGGAAAAGTTTTTGTTGGAACTCATGGAAGGCAACACAAATCCAGTACTTGCAAAACTTCCAGGTAAATTAGTTAGTATTTTCTTCATAAATAACTTTACTTACATTTTCATGTTATTAGTAAACCTATCTAAAGTTTTCTATTACGAGTAGCTGTTATTTTGTGCATTTGACACTTTTGTAGCTTAGAGACAAAAAAAGGTTACAATACTATCTGTGAAACTTCTCCATTTTTTATAGTAGATACTGTATGAATATTTACTTAATTTTTCATTTTAGGAGCATTATCCGTCGGCATACAACAAACAGAAACGAAAATCAACCACGAAGATACAATCCGTAGGCAATCAACTTCTGCTTCTGAAACGAGTGCAGCAAATGATGACGCTATTAGCTCAGTACAATATGCACCTAAAAAAATAAACACAATAAAGTTAGTCCTCTCGAAGAATATGAAACACGTTACTAAACAACTCTTGAATAACGAACTACAAAGACTAGTTTTGCTGAAACAACTGACAGTGTTAGAAATGAAAGAGGAAAAACTCAAGACTCAGCTAAACTGAGATGTTGATGAACAATCTAATTCAAGCAATTATAATATCATTCACGGTGAAGATGGACAAGTATATTTCAAATTATAATAATAATAATAATAATATTTATTCACTCAATGTACAAAGATAACAAACAATATGAGTAAATAAATATAAAATCAAAACAGGCCCAATAGAAGGCATCGCCTGTACATGGACCAATAAATTTAAGTTGAAACTGTAGAATGCAAATGACAAAAAAGGACAAAAATTAGCTACAGTAGATTATGTATTTAGTTGATGTTCGTATTTATGAGTTTATGAATTTCAGTCCTAGATATAGAATGTAGCCACTTTTTTAAATTTCTTTTGAAACAATTTCCGAAACGTAAATCTTTTAAGTCTTTAGGTATAATTTCATAAAATTTAGGCGCTAAATAGAGATATGATCGCTATAATATATATACTATAACAGTCTTTAGAATCACTTACACAATAAAAGAATTGTAACATGTGACATTTTTCTAAAGTGTTAATAATAAAAGTGATAAATACGTTATTTCTACATTTTACTTACTTCAAGAAAGAGCAACAATGATATTCGCTAATTCAGATCTCCTCCGTTGCCCGCTTCTTCTAATATTATTATTGTCAACGTCCTCTTCTGCGGGATACGCAAGTGTGATATCTTCTAATGGGAGCTCCATAGGATCTAGCTGATCTTTCAAATATTTTGCTGCATTGTGTAATATACAACAACATATGACAAATTTTGGAACTTTTTCTATGGATACCCGCACTTTATATTGTAGCATTGGAAACCGTTGTTTTAGTTGACCAAAACATCTTTCAATTACGTAGTCGTGCCATAAGTTCTGTCCCATGATAATCTCATGATAAAAATGAAACAAGATAAGATATATTTATATGAAAGATATTATTTATTCGACAACATTTTTAGAATTCATAATCAAACAGTTTTATTCAAAATGTCCCCCCTTGGCCTTCACACACTGCTTCAATCTCGCGGGCCACTCATCTATCACTGCACACACAGCTTCCAAAGGAATAGCTGCCGCTGATCGGATCAAATCCGCTTTCAGGGACTCGATATTACGGTGGGCTTTGGAGCAGGCCAACTGCTCTAGCAGGTCCCACAACTTGTAGTCTAAAGGATTGAGGTCCGGACTCCCTGAGGGCCAATCTTCCGCAGCAATGAACTCTGGCACATTGCTTTCCAGCCAGCGCTGCGTACTCTTAGCCTTGTGAGCGGGGGCGGAATCCTGCTGGTAGACCCAGTGTTGGTTGGCAAACAATGTACCACTTAAAGGCTTGACGATAGGATCCAGTATGTCGCTCTGATAGTTTGCCGCTTTTGTTTTCACGCCCTGTTTACAGAAATGGAGCTGAGTGACCCCTTCGTAGGACACCCCCCACCAAACCATGACTGACGCAGGGTGGTGGCCTCTCTCAACTCTCGGAATGATCTCCGAAGCTTCCTGTGAACTCCTTGCATACACTTTGTCATTTTGTCGGTTGAATTTTTCTTCTATGGTGAAGATTTTCTCATCCGTGAACAAAATCTTTCGGAATCCCCCAGCTGCGTACCTCTCCAAGAGCTTCTTGGATCTTGTCGCCCTGATGTGTCGCAAGGTGGCCGTAAGTCGCTGGCCCGTACGTCTCCGGTAAGCCCCTAGCCCTAGGTCTTGTTTAATGATGCGCGACATCGTCCGGACAGGAATCTTCATTTCCCTGGATAGGATCTTCTGCTTCCGGAGTGGATTCCTTCGAATCCTGGCTTTTACGGCTTTGATGGCTGCTGGAGTCCTTACTTGACGAGGTCTTCCGCTTCTTGGCCTGTCATCAACAGAGGACGTCTCATTGTACCGCTGAATGGTCCTAGGCACAAATTTACGCGATATTTGAAGGCCGCGTAAGAGTTCAAAAATCTGACTAGCACTGTGATTACACTTATGTAAAGCTATCACTGCAATACGGTTCTCTGCCTTGCCCCACTCCATCGTTATGCTTCGAGAGATCAATACAAACTGAGGTATATGTAATTACCCGAAAAGCGCTTAATCAACTGACACCACAATGTAAACAATGGGACAAGTATTAACAGGTCTACACTTGTTTGAAAACGAGGGACAGAACTTATGGCATGACTACGTATTACACGTTCCTTTGTGAATAAATTATTATAAGCACGTTCTTGTAGTGTATTCGGATTTCTAAAAGGTACCATTAGCCACGGTGTTATGCCGTATTCGTCATCTCCTAAGAGTAGTGCTTGCTACCTCTGAAAATTGTTCCTCGCAATATTTGAAAGTTCTGAATTGCTCCAAATTCGTGAATCGTGAACAGATCCTGGCCATGAAGCATCTACACTTGTAAACCACTCATCTGAATTGCATGTGGTTTGTACGTTAATGCCGTGATATCCTTTGCCGTTAATATATTCATCGCTATGAATAGGTGGCTTTTTTATTTTTATGTGGGTACAGTCTATAACGCCTAATGTACACGGAAAAGAATATTTTGATTGCCACTTTTGTTTCGCCTCTATTATGTCGGCAGCAGTTTGAGGAAATTTTATCCACAGTCCGCATTTTCCTATTATCTTCTCAGTAATTTCCGTCACTACTTTTGAGACAGAACTTTGATGAACACCAATATCTTCTCCTACTCCTGATTGGAAACCCGGATCACCAACGTGTCTCAAAAATATTTTAATTTTATCAATGTTACGTTATGCACCTTTCTACAGATTCTGTACCCAAAAAGTGATCTGATATCCACTCTACGTTTTCTCTAGCAGATCGATATAACACTTTAAAATCACGATCACAGGTACGTCTTTTAGGTTTGTAATATTTTTTAGAACGCAAATTGAGAAGGAACTCAGCTATAGCTGTACCATAGTCAAACTGAAGTCTGCTACATATCAGACTCCAAAATTATGGAGTAAATTCTTCTTCCGAGGAGCATGAACAAATTTTTATTCATAGGAAAACTGAGAATGAGCTCACAACAAATTATACATAAGAGTATCTACTCAAGTGGAGCATCAGCTCCCTATTTTTATTCATATCACATGGAGTATTTGCTCCAAATTCTTGAGAACATACTAAATGCTCATTTTTATTCATAGGACCCATTAGCACACACATACACCTACACATTGATGTGTACAGTCTCAGATCACTTCAACGTTATTTTAACATGACGCGAGTCTGATGTCACAAATCAATTAACTGGTTAAACGAGACGTTTTATTGGGTGTGAGATATGTGTGACATGCACCTATGCGTATCTGATGCGGATGGACATTTGATTGTTTTTGCGCAGATATGGATATGCATACGTAATTTACTATCAGCACGACTCAGCGTAGAATCATGGACGTCGATGTACGGGGAATCAGGAATTAGAACAAACTCTATTTTTTTTTACTTCTAATGCAGATTATAGCAACTCCACGGTAGTGTTAGCCTGATACCCAAAAAGTGAAGCTTAACATACATGACTATTAGTAACAGGATTTTACACTACACAGATGATATAACAGAACATACCCCGCAAAACCAGTGTCTCCAGCATATGGAATATTCCGAACGGCTACAGCATACTTGGTTATTGTTGTCTAGTAAAGGAGCGTCATCTTCTCTACTCACTGCACTGGCAAAGTTTTTTGGCGGTACCGTACAACTTTCTTCAAGATCCTGCACAAGTGAATCAGATTGTCAAACTCTAAACGCATTTTTCTCGGTCTCATTTCAGCTGTAGATACCTCCTTTATGCTTAGCACGGTAGTATATCGGCGTTATTGATAAATAACGATACTTTGATATGAGCTAAGCTCGAAGTACTCTGGGGGGAAGGTTCGTGCTTTGATCTAAGCATTTGGCAACGTCAAAAATTATAGTTTCTAACCGAGTATTTAAGCATTAAAATGGCAACATAAGAAAGGGTAATATCCATGGCACTATTTACTTTAATAATGCCTTGAGTGACAGTTATTGAGAGACCTTTATGAAATTCTCATAAGCTGAGACTTTTAGAATTTATACGAGATAAATAACTACAAAGGTGGCGCTTCTCTGACAGGATTGATAGCCGACAGAGGAAAACCAATTTTATCGAATATCGAAATCAGATACGATATTACCTTCATTTTTTACGCGTAAGTAAGAAGTTGTGAACGACAGCCTAAGACCCTTTTTAGTTAACATTTATGAAATTCGTCAAGCTTCTCGAAATAAACGTAAAAACAGGGAAAGCGCGACCTATTTCAAAGTTGTCAAGATGTCTTGTTTCTTGCATGTCATTTTATCTTGATTCATTGTGTTTAACAAAGATCAATCCGCCCAAGTTATTGAAACACTACATGCATGAACAAAATTTATGTAAAACTATTTAGGTTGATCCCATTATGTATTTTCTTGAAAAACGACGGGAGTATAATACAGGGTGGCGTAGAAGTTCGGGAACAGAATATATTGTTACTGGGCAAAAGCAAGGCTGCAGTGCTGTGGTGGGTAGTGGCTGAACGATTTTCTGAAAAAGCACTCGACATTGGAAAACTATCATTCTCGGAAGAAACGAGTTCAACCATTTTTTCATAGCGCATATGCATCCAATAAGTCAGAATTCCACAAGGAATACGTCTCTAGTGTTCTATACACGAATCACATTTATGGTGGGTTAAGGGAAACAGAAGTAATAAGGTGCTCTATCTTAGAGCTGTGTTCCAAATCCAAACAGCCTGTTTATAAAATAAATAAAGGATCACCAAAGGCAATCTCACACGAACCACACCAGTATAACACCCTGTATAATGCTCAAGCACCGCTAAAGTACATCTCCATATACGGTATATACTGTCTGTTTTTTAAAAGCTTTTGCGCTGTAACACTAACGTTATCCCGAAGAGAATGCGATACAGTTCCATTATTGAACACATTGTCATGTGATTGATACACGATAAACTCGAGACATAAGATCACCCATCCCACTACAATGCATTC